GCCGCCCGGGGCGCGGCGCGGAGCTCCCGCGGGGCCCTTCTCCATGGTGCTGAAACAGCCCGCGGCCGCTCCCCTGCAGCTCCCGCTGCAGCTTGCGCTACCAACTCCCGCGGGAAGATCGGCTTTTCCCAGGCAAAACTTCATTTCTAACGGGAAAAGACCACGTCTCCTTTTTCTACCCGGGAATTTACAGGAGAGGGAGGAAAATATTCGCATAATAGCACCGTAGTTATCTTTTTATGAGGAAAATGCAGCCTATTTTAGTACATGCAGGAGAAATGGCTAAAATTAGTTGTGAATCCTTCAAGTGGAGACCCTCCTTCTTCAAGGCAATCCAGAAACTCCAAGGCTCTCAGATGTTAAAGCAAAGTCAAATTCCCTTACAATAAACAGGAACTATGACCCTGTCCTCTCTAAGTTAGTGTGAGGGTGGTGAGGAAAACAGATCCTCTGTGCCAAAAGATGGAGTAGAAGCAATCACTGAACCGGGCTAGAAATGCAGTGTTATTGAGGTATGAACATATATAACTCCTGTGCTGTCCAGTCTATTTGGAGCGAAAAGAGAGCGACTCCTGAGACTCTTCATTCTGATCAGGAAAATATTTCCATTCCAAAAAGATACTGGATATGAGTAAACATGAAGACCTGAGACTGTCTTACCTCTAGTGAAAATTAGCCACTTTATCTACTTGGTGGAGGAATAGGGTGAGGGAGCACAGAAGCAGCTGGGAAACACTCAGATCATAGTTCTACTTTTTTCTAAAATGTTTTCTCTATTTTTAACAAAGTAGAGAGAAAGGCAGCCTAGATAAAACTTTAAGTGAACGCAGTGCACACGAGCTGCTAACATTGCTTACCATTTAAACTCTCCCTTCCCCACATGTCATCTCTTTGAGTGTTATTTTTGGCAGGCAAATTAGAACACCTGGATTTGAAAATCATAGCAACTTTTCATCCTTTTGTATTTTAATGATGGAAATATGATGAGATAGATGCTTCTGTACTGTGGCTATGGAGGCAGATCTTTGACTCATCCTCTTGAAAGAAAAGGAAAAAAAAAATATTGGAACACCCAGAAATCTTTCTGGAAGCCCTGAGCCATGAAACCAGAGGTGTAAAGGGACACAAATGAGGGGAAAACACAGACTAAATAGGTTAAAGTGCAGAAAATGAGAGATAGGATGTTTTAGAAAACTCAGATTTGAAAGAGAACACTAACAAACAAATAGGAATTTAGGTACCTCAAAAAAAAAAAAAAAAGTTAAAAAGGGTATTCAGAAAAGGCTTCCTTTCCTTAGTCATGAAAAGAAGATCCTGGCAAAGTAATGGGATCCCTAGCCCATTTCTGGTTCAGTGCCCCTCATATTTTCAAAATTATATCTGCAAGATCTGGAAGGCAAGAGGCCAAACAGACCGAAAATAGTTAAGAAAAGAAGAGAAAGAAATGATGTCATTTCTTCTCAGCACTGAAATATCGCCATATTCTTCACAGCATTTTCTTACAGCCACCAAAATGAATCCCACCTCCACTTGGAAATGAAATCAGCTAACACTGACTCATATCCTACTCTTCCTTTCTTATTCTTGATTAGTATGAATTGAAGTCTTGATGCAGGAAGAAGTGACATACATAACTCCCCCAAACGCCAAGCTTGCAGTATTTCTCAGTAGGAGGTGGTGAAAGGAAACCATCTTTGAAGAAATTTAAATAAATTAAATTCACTGATTTTACATATTTTATTGGTCAATAATAACCAGTGCAGTTTTTCTAATTACTGTTGCAAGTTTATTGATATTCAAACAACTGGAGAAAACAGCTCACCTAATGATGTTCCTTTTACCAGTGACAATGCTGTTTAATTAACACATTTAACACGCTATTTATAAACAAGAATGGACTGGTTCCTTCCATAGCCTGTTACTTGAAGCCTTTAGCTTCCTCACATCTTTATGTTCAGTTAACTTTCATCACCATGAAATGGTATTAACTTTAGAGAAGTTCTCAGGAAACATTCTGGGAATGAAATGGGGTCCCAAAGATGCATTAAGTGACAGGGTATCTATGAAGATTGCATTGGCAGACCTGAGACCAAGACATTCTGCTTCTTCCATGGATTAACAACAAACCCTCCTCTGAAAGGCCTGAAATAAATGCGTTGGTGAAGTTGTCATGCATTTTTCTTTCACCAACCAGACTCCTCCCTAAAGTTTTAACACCATTGCCTAATTATGTGCATAATTATGTGATATAGTGCCGCACATGACTTGTAGGAAATTACAGTGGGGCCTATCAGAGCTATCTGTGCTTCTATGTATTTCCATGAGGAACCAGTAAGTCCTAACAGCAACGCCAGAGCTGCATGTTGATGCACTCTGTTAATATCACATTCTGTATGCACAAGGTACAAGTGTGAAGCAAATCACTAGACCATTTAACAAATAAGAAAATGAGTGGGAAAAATGATACTTACATAGCAAACATCCTAGGACTGTGTACACAAAGGGCTCATTGCTAATCTTGTTAGCAACCTTGCACACCTTTTATAATCTATAAAACAAAATTACCCACAGCAATAATGAATCTCAGTTGCCAGATACCCTCAAAAATCTGCATAAAATTAAATGTATAACTTGTACTACAATTTCAGACACTCTACACAGTGAAACCATTCTCTGATGGAAACTAATGAAATTATGTGTGCGAGATGAAAAATTAGATTGTACCTTATCCTAGCCAGGGCTCTAGAGGAAATGTGAGTGATGGTAGAAATTAATTTTCTACCAAGTAGTTTCCTCCTAAGATGTAGAAGACCAGGTTCAACACTCAACTTTAGTTGAGGGAATTTACTTCATTAACTGTGAGGCTATTCTAACCAGCAGACTATGAGGTAGTTTGAGGTCAGGCTCTTGCAAACTTTTTTCTTGTTCCATTTAGTATTAACATTGACGGAAATCCATCTTTTCCATGTCTAAGTACATTTCCTAATCATCAGACTAGATATACTAGTGTCTTACCTTCTATCTCTCTCTCTGATATCCTTGGTTCAAGAGAGCACTTGTTTCAAGTGGCCCCTGAGCCACTGTTGTTCTTCCTGATGGAAAGATCTAACTATTTGGTAACAAGAAATACTTAGGTGCAATTTTCTTCTCCTGCTTGATAAGTATTTTAATAAATCTGAATAGAAATTGTGCCAAACAGCAAGAGATTGAATGCTAACCTGGGTTCAGTTCTTCAGGGAATGTTTGTACAGAATATAATCATGTCAACAGGAGAGGAAGTAACTTATCCTCAGACATCCTATGGTGGCTAAGGTGTCCCTGAAAGAAAATATCAGATCCCTCTAAAGAAATAGGAAAAGAACCTGGCTACCATCAGTCTTGGCAGCTATTCTAAACCCTGGGTGCTGTATAAAGTGGAGACAGTTTTGAAGATTTAGCTCTCCTTTTTAGATCAGTAGAACATTTTAGGTTGAATGAAACTCATTGTCTGCTTTGGCTTTGGTTGATGTAAAGGAGGAAAAAACCCCCGCCCTGCTTTCATTTTAATTAATTTTTTATTTTATATTTTGTTTTGATAGTTGAACTTAAAAATCAGTTCTTCATGCAGTTCTAACCACAATCTTGTTTTTAAATTTAGAAAAAAGCTATTTAATTAGAAGAGAAATATTATGACTGTGTTTCTTCATAAATAAAGTGAAGCACTCAGGCAATACAGAGGAGTCCAAGTAATATTCATATACTCTGGATCTAGGTATGCAATATGCAACATGCGTGGTATTTTTTTTATGCAGCATGTAATAGATACATGTCTAGCCTACTCATATGTCTACTCACAAAGCTATATGTATATCTTTTGAGGATCAGCCATGCATTTCTACATTCCAACTTATGAACAGTGTAAGGGCGGATGGAGACAAGGGCTGCTCCAGCCCTTTTCAAAAAAGCCAGATCCTCTGAGGTGCTGAGCTTTGGTGAGAGAGCATCTCAGCTGCTCAGAGAAAGTGCTTGCCATCTTTCTAAGTGATGCAGACAAGAAGTGTCATTATTTTTTCCAGTTCAATGCTGAAAAATTTCCAAAGCATCCTGGTCCATAGTTTGTGCTTACACATCACTAATAAGATTCATCTTTTCTAATTAAATGGCATTGCTTATTTTCCACTCACTTTATTTGAATTGTCCATTGCACTGGACAATGCTGAAGTAACTTCTTTTTAAGGTATTTCCATTTTGGTTTGGTTTTCTTGTTTGGTTGGTTTGTTTGGTTGTTTTATCCATTAAATGACATCTTAGGACAGTTTTATTTTTCAGTCTTTCTGGCAAAATTACATTCAGGCTGTGTTAAAGCAAAACTTCTGTGGATTCCACACTGGAATATTTTTTGATAAGAACAGCACGTATCAATAACAGAAATGATTAATTAATCGATTTTATGTTCTTGTAATAACCATACTATTGATTGTTCAGAGAAGGTAGAGAATGGTTCAGATGTTACCTTATTGCACAAGTTAATAAGCAGAGGTAAAGGGAGCAGGAAGGAGAACATGGCTTTGTATCTGCTCTCTGCATAGGCATGCCCAACTGCTTTTTCTTGTGTACCTTTCATTTCATTTGTGTTAGTTTCACCTTGAAGGAACTCCATTATATGCAGCTGACTGCAAGTGCATTAATAGAAGAACTTTGTATGTTAGAAAACCTTGGGTATATTTTGTAGAATAGAGCTAAAGAGCAACAGTTACAAAAGGACCAGCACATCAAACCCTTAGCAGGAAAAGTACGTGTTTTTAAACAAGTATAACAGCTAGTGCTATAAGGTACTTTAATTGCTACTCACAGGCTGGTGTTGAGCAATCCCTTGTGTTGTGATACAGTCGATGAAAGTGCTTGCTACACTCTGACGAAAATGTGACCGGCCCTGTTTGAAAGAAAGCAGGAGTTAACCACAAGCTTTCAGTGTCACTGCTTCACGGCTTCAATGAATGATATCAACACATAGAATTAATTTCCATGTGTTTTGACAAATTTACATTTAATTTTTCACTACACTTTAAGCAATTATAACAAGTATAACAATGCTACTGAAATAACAGAAAGAAATACTTTTGCTATGCTATTATGCTCATGATCTAAATCACAGAAAAATGGCCCTTGTAAATGATGGACTGGCTTAGCCTTGAAATTCCAGTAATTCAAAATTAACAGTAAATTTTTTTATATGATGAAAAATAGAATGGTGTAACTACAACAGAATTTAGTTTGCTCAGTAGTCATCAGTATTCTAATGTAGAAGGAATAATGTAGAAGGAATGCAGATATTATTCCTAAAGATAAATAAAAGCAACATTTTAAGCAAACATGAGTTTCTAAGCCCTGCAAAGATGAAATAGTTTCATGTACTAATGCTTCTAATTTGCACATAGATAGTTCATGAAGTTCTTAATATACAATGTGGGTGTTAAGGGAAAAAAATGACAGCTGAATAGCATCTAGGAACCTGATGTCCTTTTCAAGTAGTCCTAGCAAGAAAGGATGCAGATGTTCAGAAGGTAGTATGTGTTTCAACATTCAGGTGAGGCAAATTCCTGCGTGCCCAGGGTGTAGTGTGCTGTGTCTCTGTTCTTCCAGTCCGTGCTTCCTTGTCTGAATATCAGTGTCATCTACCCACATTAATATTTGATAAGATTGTATAGTACTGGTCTCCAAAACATGGCTCAAAGGTAAAAAGGTGCCAAAGAGCCCTTCCATCATTGCTGATGGCCCCGGGAAGGTATTACTGATGGCATCCAAGTTGAAAAGGAGAGTAAAAATGTAATATTTGCATGATGTAAGCTGCTTAGCCATACTGCCACTGACAGCTGAGGATGACTTTCCTGTGATTGGGACAGAAAACACTGACATAAATTGACACTAACTGAACAAGAGTCAATTTAACTTGCATCCTCTACATTCAGCACAAAAAGGAATCCTGAATATGAATAGCTTGTTTCAAGCAGTGCTACAAAAGGATCCATATGAAGCACACTGCTTTGACTAACTTTCCTGTCAGAGGAAGATGGTAAGCATTTCTGGGCAAAATTTACTTATTTCACAATTTGAAAGGTGGTTTATCAGCCTGCTAAAACATACCAGGCCAATTCTCTCTGGATAATGGAGCCAAACTACCACAAGCTTGAGAAAAGATTCCTCTCTATGACAGTGAACATACTCAAACATTAGATATATTTTTACATTAATATGTAGATTTAATGAGATTTTTCAGCCACAAATAAGCTTTTCAATAAGCTGACAAAGCAGCCTTTGCAACTTCGAACTGGAAGTTTGTTGTCATTTTTTATCTGAATAATTAGGCTCAAGAGAATGTACGTAAATTAAAATTATACAAGATATATGGATATAACATCAGCTTTTGTCACTAAATAAATTCTACATCCCTTCAGATAATATATGGCTTTCTAACTCTCTTCCTTGCCATCAAAAATAGGCCGTTAATTTTATTTGTGCCTTACAGAGCACTCTCTGTCAGCTGGCTTTTCAAGCTGAATTGATAGATAGCTTTATGACTCACAAGATTATTTATGATTTTTCCTATAAGCAAGGACTGTTACATATGGTTCTTATTTGGCTTTAAAATGTGTCTACTATTCTTGGCATACTAGAAGTGTACAATAATTTTCTTAACCCTGAAACTGTAAAGATAATGGACTGTAAAGATAATGTTGATTTCCTCCTCTCTCCTCTTTTTCACAACTTCAGCAGTTTAGGATGTTCTAACTCTCAAACTAGTAAGGAATATATCTGAACAGTTTACTTAACTAAGTTTGATAGAAAAAGGATTATGATTTGGATAGAAGCAAGAAAAACAAAGTTAGGCTGTTTTAAGAAAACACCTGTGGATTACAGGACCTAATAAAGCTGTGAAGAAAGAAAAAAAGAAAGAAAGAAGGAAAGAAAGAAAGAAAGAAAGAAAGAAAGAAAGAAAGAAAGAAAGAAAGAAAGAAAGAAAAGAAAAAGAAAGAAAAAGAAAGAAAGAAAAGGAAGGAAGGAAGGAAGGAAAACAGGCAGAAAACCCCATCATTTAAGATATTAAGAGAATAATTAAAAGAAAAGAAAAAAGCAAAAGAAAAGAAAAAAGATATATGCAGAACTTCTGAGCCAACAAAGAAATAAACTTCAAGAATTACAGAATGAACTTGCTTTCCTTATTCACTCCAGCTAATGTTAGTCAAATAATTTCAGCAATTTTGATGGCAACTACTCATGCAGAAAAGCACTATTAATTTAATGAATGGCTGCAGAAACAAGCCTTCAAGTATTTTCTTTCTTTTTCTTTTCTATGATTTAGTGTTCTCAAAATACCTTCTGTAAAACTCATGGTTGTTTTTCACTGTTGTTTCTGAGTAATGAAATTTGTTCTGTCTTCATTATTCAGCTTCCCCAGATTCTTATGCTGAGCTTTTTATGGTAGCTGAGCAGTTTCCAAAGTTAAAAATGAAAAGGAAATGTATAAGTTATTAATATAAGCAAATCTTTCTTGTCTATCCTCCCCAGGAGAATAATTTCCAGTATTCCTGTTCTACATAGGATGGCACAGTTGGATGTCTATGTTCTTTTCACTTCTTTCTTATACGGACTGAAAATGGTAAGGTTCATAATTCCTCTTGTTTACTGTAAGAGCGAAGGGCCAGCTGGGTGTAGCACGTTTCCCGTAGATGCTCTTACGCTGCAGTTAGTTGGCAGCAAGATCCTTAAAGTAGTGCTTATCCTAAAGGTTTGAGGACACTTCCCTCATGCAAAAGAGACAACAAATTCTTTTCTTTCTTGCCAAGGACTGTCTGAAATTTCCAGCAAAGAGGAAATCCATAATTATATCCAATTCTCTTTTTCTTGCTCCAACTGCCAAGTATTTCTCTAGTTTTTAGTTTCACTAATCTCAATAACATTTAAAATCACCAACAGATTTGCAGTGTCATACTCCGAAACCTTCACTTTTCTGAATTACAGAACATTTGGAACTGGAGAGTAAAGAATCAGTGCAAGCATCTTGCTGTTGGCAACTCTTTTTGCTTATATTCAGAGGGTACAGTATTTTTCCAGTTGTTACAAGATAGAGTCCCAAAGGTAAGTGAATTATACAACTCCATCTTAGTTTTCAAGTACAAGTACTTGACTGTAATCATATTAAACTTTCATATTTGAAACAGCAAATTATTTTTTCTGATTCATTTACACTGTTTAATCCTTCCTTGTTCTATTTGTTTGCCTTGTTAAAATAACCGTCCACACGTATACATCATGAGACAGAAGACAAACTGTGTTTCCCTGATACAGTGAAAACTTACACTTAAATCTGTTTCTGAAAGGTATATGCAGTCCAATGAGAAGTTTTAAAATCAGTAAAATTGAAAACAAATATGGTAGGACTCAGAAAAATTATGGAAAAAATACATATATTTAAAATTCAAAATGTACTGAATTCTCTTATTAAAATATTACTTGCCAGAGATAGCAGATAGGTGCTCACACATATCACATTTGTAACACCGTACTGGCAATTGTTTGCACATAGGTATACGACAGAGTATCTATAGCATACAGACATGTATTCATTCAGTACCTACAACTATTAAACTTGTAGTGTAGCTCCAAATCAACAAGCAACAACAGGATGATAAAAATGAAACAATAAGTTTTAAATCATGAATATTTTAATTTATCATGTTTTAAAAGTTATTTTAGGCTAGATTATTCAAAGAGAGACTCAAATTTAATTAGACTTCTATAAAAACAATGCAAACTTAACTTCACAAATGTTATCCTTAGTTCAGAACCTCAAGAAAGGTAATGGTGTGACTTGTGGCTACTTAGAATATGCATATGAAGGTAAATTAAGGGCAAGCAGCTGCCTTACCTGTAAAATGTTTTATGAATTTGTCTTTTAGACTGGAATCTCTTGGAAAAATTTCTGAGGAGAGAAGAAAAAAAAAAAGTATATAATATAGGAATAAAAAAAAAAAGCTCTGAAAAGCATAATATGCCAAGACGTCTGCTGTAAAGAGACCCAATAGCTTCCCAAATTAACTACGAAATTAAATTTCACAGTTGTGTGTGTGTGTGTGTGTGTGTGTGTAAACAACAATGTGAAATGTTTCAAGTAATTCACAGATGAATATCAAATGGTCGTCCTACAACACACTCTATCAGATTTTCTGACAATCATTTCTACACATCTTAGGTCTGAGTTGAGCTATAATTTTATGAATATTTATATAAATAATGTAAGCTATCATGTTATGACAAGTATTTGAGTACCTGAACAAATCAGGTAAAATACCTAGATAAATAGAAACTAAATACTATATATTTTGGGGTTTGAAATAACAGGTACCTGAAGAGAAAAACCTCCTACAGATCATGTAAGATAGACATAGGTCATGCATACTTTCATTGCATTATTAGTCAAAAAATAGTACTCCTCTCCTATGAAAATTGCTGTGGATTTAAAAAAAATCCCTTTCCGTATATGGTATTTTTTCCAAAAAGTACAAGAGAAAATACAAGTCTCAGAACAGCCAAAGGAATCAGGCAGAACAGAAACTGGAGCTAACACAAAAACTCTACTTTTTTTTTTTCCAGTGGGATGTTGCCTCTGGCTTACGGCAGAAACTTTTGATGCAAGTAAATATTCTCAGAACTAGTACATTTCCCCTCAACCTCATAAATTTTCTACTGAAATATTGTATTAAAAAATTCTTGGGTAACTGCAGTTATTATTGCAGACAACTACTGTATATAACAGTTTCATGTTACATTAAATTCAAAAGAAATGCCTTTCTTAACACTAATACAAGGAATATGATTAACTCACAGCATTAGGACCTGCAGCTAAACATATTTATTCACTAAAATATTTCCTTTCCACTAAAGTCATTTTAACTCTTTGTATTCTCCCACTTTTTTTTTTTTTTTCCAATTCCTTGTCTGAATTAACATTTAGCTCAGAAGAGAGTGAGTTCCCTTTCATACTATAGGAAGATGTTGGTTATCTGCCAAAATAAATTCTTACCGCTGACTTTAGGCAGTTTCTCAGAGGTCACATGAGTGTATTTTTAGGCTGGGATTTTAAGCTGAAATGCTCAAGTCTTACTACAACTCAGCAAAGTTAGGGGACCAAATTTACTTAAGATTCCTCAAAAACCTCAGTTTTAACTAACTTGTTTCCTTATTGCAAATGAAATACCACACCTTCTCCATTAAACTGAGAATTTTACTGACATGAAATGTCAGGTAGTTTAAGATTACTCAGAATGAAGCCTATGAAAAGCCAAAATAGTGAAACAATCTGTGTGAGTTTTGAATGAGATGCTTCAAGTTGCCCAGTACTGATGAATACCCAAAGCCTGGTGAAGGTTGGGCTAACAGGCAATTTCTGCTCTGACAAAGAACATTTAGACCCAGGTCCTTTCAAAGTCTATAGAATTTGCTATGGGAACAGTAGCTGCCTTTTGCCCCACAAAATTCTTTAGGAAAAGTCCGTAATACAGTATGCAGCCAAAACCCCACCCCTAAATGCACAGAAGGTAAAGCAGGATAACAGACTTGATGCTCAGGCAAGGAGCTAGGCATTGCAAGCATAAAACCGCAGCTGTAGCTGGGTCAGTAAGCCTGAGAAGGAACGCTGCAGGGTCTGCTTCCCCCGAGTAACCTACATCGGACCCAAGGTTCGCACCAGCCCGGCTACGCCTGTCCCAGTCGGGAAAACTAGGTCAGTCGTGTGCTGGAAAGTGGCTGAATGGTATTGACTGCGTGCCTGCTCCTCCCCTGCTGCGGCTGCCGTCCCTCCGGGCAGCAATCTGCTTTTCAACATGTGCCCACGTTTCTGCTTTCTTCAAGAGTTCGTTTTCTTAATAGTACAGTGCATTCACTCGGTAGAACGCAATCAGTGAGCCCCAGCCCTCCACAAAGGCAACCTAAGCTCGTTTGCATGAAAATCACGGGCAGCACAGGTTACTGGAACACTTCTGTCCCCCGGCAGGGGCAATACTCTGCCTGAACTATGAATTGCCCAACACAAGCACAGTAATTTTCTTCCATCTTCCAGCAGCATAGCCAAGCCCTCCTATCTGTACACAACAGTGAGGCTGAGGTCTCAAAGGACTCGGCATTTCAATCAAACTGATGAACATCTTTTTTGAATAGAATATGCTGATTCCTGACTAGATCACACCGCAGCCAGAAGCAGGATCTCAAGTCCATACAGGATGCTTTTATAAAGCAGTGAAAAATCATCACGACAAAACCACTTCACTAGCTTTTCCTGGCTTCTAACAAGCTCTTAGTTACTCCAGTCATTTTTCATGTGGCATCTATCACCTATTAAGACAGACAGCTTAATATCCATTCTCACAATGTACCGTCACATCCTCACAATGCAAGTTAAATTCCTTTGGAATATTAATTTCACAAAGTAAAAGCAGAAACATTAAAATAATAAGATAGATTGGCAAAGCATTACTAAAATCAAAACACTTGAAAGTCACTGGGCAAAAACACAAAAGAAACAGGGAAATGGAAGAATAAAATGTTTTAAGTGTGAAACTCACATGAACAGGAAATATTGAGTGGACAGAGTTTATTCAATCCATTCTTGCCTTGTTACACAAACCAGTAAAGTACAGCCAGTATATATCCCACAGGACATAGTAACTGGTTTTAGTCAGCTGGGACAATATTCAGACTGTGGCATTCTTGTGCCGAGGCTTACAAAACCTGCACCGCTCACCAGAGAGAGGGCATCTGAGTTAAAAGGCACTGGTGATACTGACCCTGGGTTCATCCTGGGTGCAATCTCAGTTTATAATCAAAAATAATCTTAGTTCAAGGATTTCTTTCTTATTTATACTAGGACTTCTTATATACATTAGGACCTCTATGTGTGTCCTTAGATAATTACTCATCTGGGGCAAAATGCTGCCCATGCTACACCCCCTCCACAGACAGCAATGGCCATGGACAACTATTAAATGGTGCTAGAACAGATCTGCTACTGGACCTTCTGTCTAAAACATTAAGAATACTTATGGAAAAAAATCTAGGGACAAGACTAATTTAGAGGGTTTTCCAGCTCTGCTTCACAGACAGAATGGTTAATTTCATACTGCAAATTTGGTTCTAAACCATCCATACTGTTTATTTTTCTCAAGTTGTGACACTTCACAGAAGGTCTTGTGGCTTCAAATAAAAGATGACTGGATCTGCCTGAGTTTTATCCCATGCTGGGATCAATGAGATGACGGGGAGACCTAGCAAGGTCTGAGCTAAGAAGCAGTGAGCAACAGCTGCTCCAGCTCCCCACTCTTTCATTTTGTTGTAAACTTTCCAAAGTTGATTTAAATCACTGTTGTTAAGCTAATTCCCTAGAAAATTATTCTGTACACTTTTCAGTTGTTATTCAGCACCTTGTAGCTGACATGAATGTTTAATTTTTCACTAATTTGGCCACAATTACAGAGAGGTAGAAGACTAAATAAGCCACAGCCCTGAGCTCGGGCATATGCTTAACCTGCAATATAAGACATATTTCTTCACCTCAGATCAGGCTTTTCACCTTTCCGTGCCTTTGGCCTCTCTGTGTTTTGTCTGTTCAGACTGCAGAGCTGTGACAGCAGGTGCTGATTTTTACCCTGTATTTGCACTACCATCTCCAGCGCTATGTCATCATAATCGTGCCTGGAAAATTCATGTCCTGCTGTAGTGTAAATACCTCGCACTCGCAGGACTGAAATAAGCCAAATCCACACAACAGTTTGCTGTCTCGGGGCATGAAAACTCCACATCCTCAGGCGATATCACCTTGGCAGAAAAAAGTCGAGATCTCAATTTGTTTATGCTCCCAACAGGCAGTCTTTGCTTATTTTCAGCTTATTCAGAGAAGCTATGTGAATCAGCCAGCACAAATTACTCCAGATCTTGGCCTAGTCCAGGTCTACACCAGGGGGATCTAGGATGTCTCACTGCAGGCTGTACTGTAGGCAAGCACAGAAAATGTGAAGTACCAGAGCTCAGGCTCTGCTTCATTGGCCAAGTCCCTTAATCTTTCTATATAAGAAAAAAGTCTTCATCAAGAATCATAATCTCTTTTTGGAAGAATATCCAGGCATCTAAAAAAAAAAAAACCCAATAAAATCCAAAGCAATTTTTCATCAATTACTAAAAAGAAAAAAAAAAAAAAAAAAAAAAGAAAAAAAGAAAAAAATCAACCCTTAAACCATTTATGGAAGACTTCTCCATAGGAGGTAAATGTTTCAGAAAAACATAAGCATATCCAAACAAACATAAAACCAGAAATTACGTTAGTTATCACTATACCTATGTCTGCCACCTAAATGATATTTGTCAGATTTACATGCAGGTGCTAAAGTGCTCTCCATTACAGAAATTAAAGCTTGGCATCTTTAGCCAGGTCTAATAATTATCCATTTTCCAGAATATCCATTGTTAATTTGGGATGCCCACTGTTATTTTGTACGACATTCCTTGAAATGATATGTCATATGATGGAATAAGAGGTGTTTCTTGGTTTTATGTTGTTCTGTACTTCAAGAAGTTACTTAATAGAGCTAGACAGTTCAAATGATTATAACCTCACAGAATTATTTTTTACAATATAATACATAGTACAAGATATACTCAATAGCAATGGTAATACATCTTATTATATCATATAATGGTTATATGACCCTGATCTAGTTCTTATTAATTCTGGTAAAGCCATTTTGAGTTAATGTAATTGTCTGTTCTTCAGAAAGGACAATGCTTTAGAATTACCCTTCTTTCTTTGCTTTTTATTCTTCTTTCCTAGTCATATTTTCTTTGACTTTATAATCCTTTTCAAGCCAAATTTATTTTAATACAAAGCAATACGTTTTAGAAGGTCTTGCATTACCAACCTTATAATATTTTTTTCCTAGACTAATATAGATTAATGTAGATTTTGCACAACCGTCACACATACAATCTCATGAAAAACTTAATTCCCATATATTTTACTTAAAGTAATTTTATAACTATGGCATTTAGAAAATAAATGTTTTATCGTGCATTTTCTTCTTTCTGTCTGTAAAATGGCAGAAGAAAACTGTCAGCAGGGAGATGCAGCTGACTCTTCTATTATAAACCCAGATGCAGGCTTCTAAAAATGTTGCTTTGGCATGAAAATAGCATGTGATTATTTTATTTTTTGTTAAAGATCATTTCATGTTATGAACCTGCTTACAACACACTATATTTTAATAAAGTTTTAATTAAAGTTGACATTTAGAAGGACAAGAGTCTTCAAAGCTTCAACTTAAAGAAAGGCTGTATTTGTTCACAGTAGAGGAATAAATCTTGCAGTAGTTGAAATATCATGCTTCTACAAATATTGGAACACTGTCAGCAAAACTGTCTCAAGTAATTCTTAAAATAGAGAAGTCCCATCTATTTGGATGGAGCTTTTCTTTCCTAGAAACTCCCCACAGTGCCTAAAGATGGCAACCCTTGTCTACTGTGACAATACTGCAAGGTGAAATACCAGTAGCAGTAGGTTTGCATATATTCAGCAATGTCAAGATGGATTTATTTTACAGAAAGATAAGATGTATGGTGATAAAAGTGATAGTAAAATCTTTCAAATGTAAATTCATTAAAAAAAAAAATAAGGTGTCAGAAGTACTTAAGCACAGAGATGAAAATAGACAGGGAGGAGAGAAAAATACCCAAGTAAAGCGATATACTAGAAATATGAGTGAATGGAATGACATTGCAATGCCAGGATGAAAGTATCCTCAGCATGATTGTCTTAAAAATATCTGAAATCTTTACAAAGTCAGTGCTCTAAAATATATACATATCTATATTCAGAAACCTTAATGACCCAAACCATCCTTCCTCTGTATGCCTCAATTTACAGATGTAATGATTTCCATAAATGATAAGAGACATAGATCCTCAGTTTAAAAAAAAAAAAAAAAAAAAAAAGTTTTGCTCAAAATCAACAATTAGCATAGAAAACAGTGCAAAGATAAAGCATCCCAGTGGAGAAAAAAATGTTAATGTTCATTTTGGTAAGATGGTGTGATGTTAAGTGTAGGTGTTTGACTACAGTGTCACACCTAGGAATCAGATGGTAAAATACCCTGTGTGAATAAATGGATCATGAAGCATGCATCTAGAGACCTGATTCGGGTATTTCTGCTAGACGTGGACAGAAATACATGGTCACCACTGTGGGCAGATGTCCCTGGGAGTCAATCCCACTCTGGCCAGGGCATTTGCCACACCGTGGTTTCACAGTGCTCAGGACAACAGCTCCTAACAGCCCTCAGCAGCAGGTGACATTAAGCAGAGTTGAATGAATTAACATATACTTCTTTCTTCAGTACCCTCACCAGTTAAAAGATCTTAATTTCCTACTTTCATTATTATACTTTGTCTGTGATCAGGTTGCACAAAACTCTTACTTCTGAGCCCACGGCTGGACAAAATTCTTACCGGCAAAACTGAGGATTTCCAGCAGCTTTGACTATGTTGGAAATGCTATTTTATTTTTATTCTGCTATTCCATTGCTATCAGAATGGCATTACTTTTTGTCCTCCAAACAATAGCCATATTAATATAGATTGAAATATTTCTCTGGATCCTCATGTGCCATCTGATACAGCAGAGAAAGAGAGTATGCAGTTCTTTGTTGAAAATGTGTGACATTTGTATTCCCTAGTCAGGGACCACCAATTGATTCTGGCGTCTGTCCAAGAGTGCTCAAAATCCTTAGACAAATTTGTGGTTGTGTTACAACTCAGTTTACAGGCTGATATATTTAATGCATTTTCTATTGCAGTTTCCCATAGGGAGGCAAGAAAAACCACAACTTTGTGCAACAGAGCGTGACTTCTTCCATCATTAACAATCATAAATCATTGAATATTTTCTATTATTTATGTTAGAAATAACTGCCATATGAGAAAATATCTACTTAAATGATGTAATTTAATCTCTCAGCCTCTTCTTCTGTGGCTTCTACCACATAAACTGTATTTCTGCTTTTGATATGTTCTTTTTTTTTCCAGTTTTCCATAATTAAAAGCTTTATAATAATTTCTATAGTTTCTAATTTTCTTAGTAATTTTTTTGCATTTACACACACAATTTTCCCCCAAAATATCTGCAATTCATTCCTTTAGACAAGGGGAAATATCTATTTCCATGTGCAGTATTCCGAGACGTCACTGTGTTACTACTTCTGTTAAGTAACACACACAGTTCCCACTTATGGAATACTTTTATTTTGAGACTTTGATGTGTACATACTAAGTTCCACGGGGCATAGATGGCAAATGAGTCAATGCTCCAGACAGATGCATTCCTTTCTGTATGTAATATTGTTTGAAATTCAAAACTTGCCAGATTCTTCCAAGTGCTCTGTAACGAACATTACAATAAATTAGCAAAATTTTTTTGCATTTTCTATCACTGTCTACTCTAGCAGGTGAGAAATTATCTAGTATCTCAGTATTTTCTGGGAAGAAAAAAAAAAAAAAAGCCTCAAATAAACACCCAAATCAACACTGCTTGGATTCAGAGAGATGAGAGCGTCTGCTCAAGAGAAAACCCTGAATTAATCTACAACTGCATACCACTGCCATCTACTGAATGTAGAATATGCTGAATGTACTCATGCATACCTTTCTACTCTGAGAGTGTAGTTTACTAGGCTTCCCATTCACTCCAACAGGAGCCCTTTCAGTTCTTGCAATACAAAGTGTACTCTAGAGCTTAAGGGTGACAAATAGAGTGCAATTAATAATTCATAATGAATGACTTGGTCAATTTATCTTCTGCTGCTTCAAGAGTAGACATAAACAGTATTCTAATCTCTGGATTTATTTGCTGTCCATAAAATCTTTGTTCAATATTTCAACTTTACTTATAGAGAATATTTGTCCCTGTCCCTGCCTGCAGAGGGGGGGGTTGGAACTAGATGATCTTTAAGGTCCCTTCCAACCCAAACCATTCCGTGATTCTATGATTTGTAATACACGTTGCGATATGATTGTACCTCATTACTCAAGTCCTAAAATACTAGTTCTGCTCCCATGTCAGATAAATGCTTCCATGCTTATTTACTTGTCCAGGTTTGAAACAGTGCTTCTAAGGATACTTAAACTAGTGACTGAACATTTACTTTTCCTGATACTCATTTCAGTAATATTTTTCTGATGTGAGCATGGCAAATAATACTCCTTTTAAATGCTGAGTAATTAGTATGTTCTCAAATTCTCCAGCTTTAGTTATGAATACAATATCTGGTGTTACATGTATAAAATTAAAAGTCTTCATTCCGTAACTTTCATCAGGAACTTGAGCAATAAAGTGGGCTGTGACATCAGTCAGTTTAGAAACACAATAGTATGAACTCAAAGAGAAAGCCTAACAAGGTTTGCTTTCATTATGGCTAATAATGTTCACCATGTCAGTCACCATTGGCAAGAGCACCACATTAAAAAAAAAAATCAGTGTAATTCTTCACTGTGCTAAACGTGTACGTAAAAGGAACCACCAGCTTCTAAAATCTCAATCTGGCATTTAGTCACAATTTCTATTTTTTCCTCTCTTCCCTCTACCAACATATTATATGTAGTGCCAACCATTCATTCTTATCCCAGAGTCCCTACTCACCTATGTCATATCTCTTGCTCACCCTTGTAAGCCTTATCTACATCAGTTGCTCCCTTAAACCCACAGGGATTAATATTCACAGAGTATTCATAGGAGAGTCACTGCAAACTATTTGGTTCT